TGGTTGATTTGGTCTCTGCAGAAAAAAAAATTATACTCAAGGCAAATATAAGAATATTATATTCTTATCTACAACAATTTACAGCTACCTACAGTATTAACAGTTTTAGATACCGTCAATGAGTCCCCCAACTCCTCCAAAGAAGAATCCCACGAGTTATTCCAAGAGTCAAATTTAGGCCCTGTAGGAGATAGATTCCTTTATTTATGCGAGAGAAGGTTTTAACTACAAATTTTTCTTCCCTATCCAAAGTGAAAATGGTAATTTAAAAAATGAGAAACAATCAGCTGAATAATGTGAAAAGCCTAGCTTACATGATAGTTCACCACTAAATAGATGCTGATCTTCTTTAACAAACTGAAATCCTAGAAACCTGCAAGATAGTTTAACTATTTAATAATAATAATTAAAAAAAAAATAGAAAACCTATGAATCACCTTCATCTTGAACTTAAGTTAATGAACTAAATTATCTCTGAAATTTCTTTACAATATAAAATTAGAGATAATAAGGGATAAATTTTAACATGATAGATATACTTTGAGATATTTACTCAACCCAATATCCATATAGCTTAATTTTCTTGTTTCAACACTGTCAAGTGCTGTCCGTTACACCTTACCAAACATGTCATAATATTCAGGATCTGGCTGTTTGATCCTAACATATATATGAGGTGATTTCCCTTATCATAATCCAATGTAATATGAGATAGGTTAGTTCCTAAATTAGTAATTTTATTGTCTAAAAACATAGGTCATCGTACAGGCTGTTGTACAAAATTTAACAAAGTAATACAGATTCCACATGTCTTCTCTTTCACTAAATATGTGAAGCACCTTACCAGGTAATACCTAAGAAGCCAAACATATAGAATACAGACTCCCATCCATAACTTTGTATTAGTGGAGGAGCCAAAAGGAGCCTGCAGGTTCATAAATGTAAACATTATTAGTGAGAAAGCACTGATCATATTCTGTCTGTAAAATTGACAGATAACTAACTGAAGTATTATTTGGCTCGGCTCTTCATCATACAAATCTTCAATTGCGATGGAGCGTATATAAAAGAAGCGTACGTGAAATTTTTGTACTCTAGTTGCTAGCACAAAACTTAATAGGCACCAATATCTGAATTAACATTTGACTGGCGTGGTGGAACAAGGAATTCTTGCAGTACAAAGACTAATGTATAATACAATAATATGATGCATAATTAGGGACAAATCAATGATCTTGTGTTCAATGATTATTACCCTAAGACACTTCCAACACTCAAGCCACCAAAAACAAATGATACTGCTCGTGAGCGCTCTTCAATCGGTATGGTCCTGCACAAAAGCCAGAATAACATCATATACAACAAAAGTGAATAAAAATACATGGCTTTACGAATCTTTTGAAGAAGGCAGAAATTTTACAAACCATGGGAAGATTAAATATTACTAACAATGAATAAGTGAGTATATATTACATGCAGGAGGAAGATTATCTAAACCTTTTTCCTTAGATCATTTCTCTTTCCTTCTTTTTCTTGTGATTTTTTTATTTTTTCCCTTTTTACTGAAGAGAAAGCAACCAGGTGGCAGAGTATCTATGGAGTCGTATAAACGATATGAAACAATTCATCCAAACAGCAAACCTGGCAATCAGATCAGTAGCAGCTGACGGTGAAACACCTTCTCCCATTCCAACCTGAAGTATCAAAATTGATAAATGTCATATGAGTTAATTAGAAGAATAATGACGAGATTCTTCACCACTGTATTAATTCGGGATGAAGGATGCTAAAACGATAGCCTAAGACACAAGCATTTCTTCAATATTTTCATGCATAAATAGACACGTGTGATCGCTTAGAACTTGTCGCCAAGAGCAGTCTCAGATTCTATGAAATTACCAATATCCTGGACAAAATAAGTCCAGGCATAAAGCCAGCGAGAATAGGAACCAGTGCTGTGGCCAGTGACCAGGCCAGGACCCCAACCTCAAGAACTTTTCTGAGAGGGATAACAGAAATTGATTAGAAACAAGCTAGATTAAGAAAAAACAAATCTAGGAAGAAACACATGCTCCATCCAAAAACAAATAAAGCAACGAAGAGGATCATAACGAGTTCAGCTAATGATTTCCTTTTTTGCTGGATCAAAGTAAATGATATAGTTGTGTTTTCAATTTTAAGCAGCTTTCCACTGGACAGCACAAAGAAATACCATTAGCGCTGGAAAAAAAAAATAAAAAAATAAAACCTTGTGCTTCTTATAAATCAACATGAGTTTTTACTTGTCAACTGTGCTTAAATACCATAGAGTTTATTCCTGTCATTGTAGTGAAAGTAGTACTTCCATATTTAAAATTTGCATTAATACTTCAATCTCCTTGCGATGTAACTCAAGAGGTAAGGCCTTATACC